GAAATAACACGATAGAACGATTGCCGAAACTTGGATTGAAGCCTAAACCTAAACCCTAAACCCTAACCCTTTTAAACCCTAAAACCCCAAAACCCTAAATCCAGGTCCAAGGGCCCAGCCACACAACGGGGTGTTGAAAAAGTACAAGCACTGCTTCGTGTATTGATAGTAGCACAAGCCTAGTAGTATTGGTAGTGCTCATCCAAAATGCAGTCGCAGCAACGGTGGCAGGAGCAGCAGCATTAGCAGAAGCATTTGCAGCAGCATCAGCAGCATCACTAGCAGCGAGGGTAGTAGGACTAGTAGTGCTAGTAGTGCTAGTAATAGTAGGAGTAGTAGTAGTAGTAGTAGTAGTAGTAGTAGTAGTAGTAGTAGTAGGAGTAGCAGTAGTAGTAGTAGTAGTAGTAGTAGTAGTAGTAGTAGTAGTAGTAGTAGTAGTAGTAGTAGTAGTAGTAGTAGTAGTAGTAGTAGTAGTAGTAGTAGTAGTAGTAGTAGTAGTAGTAGTAGTAGTAGTAGTAGTAGTAGTAGTAGTAGTAGTATTAGTGGTAGTAGTAGTAGTAGTAGTAGTAGTAGTAGTAGTAGTAGTAGTAGTAGTAGTAGTAGTAGTAGTAGTAGTAGTAGTAGTAGTAGTAGTAGTAGTAGTAAGTAGTAGTAGTAGTAGTAGTAGTAGTAGTAGTAGTAGTAGTAGTAGTAGTAGTAGTAGTAGTAGTAGTAGTAGTAGTAGTAGTAGTAGTAGTAGTAGTAGTAGTATTAGTAGTAGTAGTAGTAGTAGTAGTAGTAGTAGCAATAGGCAGGGCTTAGGGTTTAGGGTTGTGCGGGGCACTGATAACCCCAGGAAAGCCTCCGGCCGCTGCATTCTCGTCATCGCCCTCGTGCGGGAACTCCTTCATGGCCTCCTCTGGATCCTGGCCGTCTCCCTGATCCTCACCTTCGAGAATCTCGGCCACAGTGTGCCTCTTGGTTTTCCTGGGCAAGGAAGCTAGGACAGAAGTTCGGGGCTACACACACAAAAAAAGACTCCACACATAATCTAAAACCATGGCACTTGTTGGAGCCCTTGACCCTCACAGCCACCCAGTACATCCACTCATCGCAGTATTCAGACTTCCTCTGCAACAGAGCAGCAGCTGAGCCTATGTGCAGTGAATCGAAACACTAAAAGTAGAACCAATCTCCTCTTCCATCCGGGCCGTTTCTCACAGCTTTTCTTGGCGCCCTTGATCTTCTTCCTCGGCTAAGGAAGAAGGTAGTGATAGGGTTTTGACTTTAGGCTTTAGGGGCTCAGGGGTTTAGGGTTGTAGGGTTTAGGGTAGTAGGGTTTAGGTATGATCATCTAAGACACTCGCTCCAGCCTTTCTCTTCCATTTCCTGTTCTGTCAGGAATCCGAACTCGGTTTCCACCGATTTCTCGTTGATCTCTTCGTACTTTCGGTTGATTCTTTTCGAGAACAGCACCTGGCTGCTTAGTGGGAGATTAGCAGGGAAAGTATGATATTGTATCGACAAGGTACCATAAACGAGACAGGCAAACCGGGTCGCAACCACACTTCTCGAAGCTCCGGTAGACTTCCTCCCTAGTTTCGATGTTCTTGTAAGTGTTGATAACATCCTGTGGTATCTTGTACGATCCATCCTCCCTTGGCGTACACAACCGGGCCAGCCGTTTCATCAGGGTGGCTTTGCTCACCTGTGCGGGAGGGGCGATGGCCTGATCCTCCTCTCCTAGACAATACTCATCATCCTCCTTCGTCTGGCCTGGCTTGGCTTTGCTGCTGGGAAGGAGTCGTTTGGGCTGGGCTTTGGCTTTTGCCTGCTGATCCTGGCCAGTTGCGGCTTGCTCCGGGGTCTTGGTTTCACTGGGCACAAGGGACTGGCTCTGGGCGGCCTGGCTTTCTGCGGGTTTTTTGCTCTCAAGGGACTGGCTCTGGGCGGCCTGGCTTTCTGCGGGCTTTTTGCTTTCAAGGGACTGGCTCTGGGTGGCCTGGCTTTCTGCGGGGTTTTTGCTTTCAAGGGACTGGCTCTGGCTGGCCTGGCTTTCTTCAGGCTTCTTGATTTGAACAGGCTGGCCGGTCTGGCTTTGTGGCTGCTGGGTCTCGGGGGCCGAGTCCTGCACTGTGTCAGGGAAGGTTTGGCGGACAGGCGAAGTTTGCTCGCTTGGGGTGTTAGGAGGTGGCAAAGAGGGGAACTGCTGCTGGGAACCCGTCTGGGAGGAGTGCCACGAGGTGCCACGTGACGGACCATCCTATGTCGAAAAACAACCAACACTTTATTCAGCTCAATAACAAGACACACTGATACAAGCAGGTCCTTCTTGCTGGCCGGCTCCAAGCCCTGGGCCTTCATCTGATCCTGGGATCGGTTACAATGGGGGCCCATCAAGGGAAGAAGCCTTCGTGAATGCATCCCACACATTTGGTTCTATTCAATCCAGAGCACCAAAAGGGCCTGTCTCTGGGCCAAAAGGCTTTCCATTTCGGGATCTCCCTCCATGGCACAAAACAGCAGAGCTGCAGGCCCTATGTTGGGCCACAAAAGCCTGCACAACACAGGTCACAGCTGATGCTCTGCTGGGGTGAGGGACCCATCCCGGCTATTCCCGCCCTTTGGACGGGCACGGAGGCAGCCGGCAGCCCAAAATGTAGGAAAACCCGACCAAACCCCCCAAAACCAGCGGTAGGGCCTGCAAAACTCCGACCAAACCCCCAAAACCAGTGGTAGGGCCTGCAAAACGACGACCAAAGTCCCAAAACCAGTGCTGGGGCCTGGACAACCCCGACCAAACCCCGAAAACCCGTGGCGGGGCCTGCTTCCCCGATGTTCATGTTGCTCGCTCGGCCCCCTTTCTCTGTCACTGTCTGTGTCATTTCATCACTTTGCCTTTTCTTTCTTTGTTCTTTTTCTCTCTCTCTCTCTCTCTCTCTCTCTCTCTCTCTCTCTCTATCTCTATCCCTCCCTTTGCCCTAACACTGTCTGAGTGCCTAAACAATTACTTGTCAACACAGTCATGCAGTGTCAGCAACATAGCATCTTCTTTTGCGGCACACCAGGCAAGCTCCGAACCTCAATCCATTTCCTCCAAGAACTTGCGTGCAGCAGCTTCTGCCCTATGCAAGCATGTCGGCTTGTGCTCTCCAGGTCTGTCTTTGCAAACTGAGCAGCAGTGGATATGTGGAGGAAAAACCTTACGATCACACGTCATGCAGTCTCGAATCGGCTCCAGTGCAACGATAGCAGCATTCATCCTCGAGCATTTCTTGCTATGACGTTCGTTCTTTCGACAGCCACGACAGCAGTAGCGATGCAGCCCATCCACCAACCGTGCACAGCCTTCTTTCGAGCAGACTCTTTGATCGTGGCTTCCATTGGATCCGACTGCTAGGGCCGCCATACTAATTGCTGCGTAGTACCGCACCTACAATGGAATATAGTGGAATGCTAAGCTAGCTAGCACCTAGGACCTAGAGTGGAATACGAAGCTAGCTCTTTGACAAACCAACACTGATCTTTGGACTTCCCAGGCAAAGCGTGGCGACTTCGGAGCCCGACTTGCAGCTTGAGTCGGCCAAGGAATCTAGGGTTAAGGGTTTTGGGGTCGACGGAGAGAAACAGAGCGAACTCACAGGATTGAATTTGGCTGAAATGCCTTCGTGTTTAGGGTTTGGGGTTGGGCTGGAAGGCTTTCGGGATTAGGGGTTTAAGGTTTAGGCTTAAGGCTATTGGACTTCGAAGTTTGGCATTTGGACTTTGGGAGTTGTGCAAAGACTTGGTAGTTTCTGGTTTCACATTCACAAGCGAGATAAGCCACTTTCATAGATTAAAGGTTTAAGATCTTTGACTTAGGTTTTGGGTAGATGATACAGAACAAACACCGAATCCCAAAAATCCTTAGATTATTGCGTACAGAACTTGAAGCCTTCTTGCTGCAAAGGCGTGGGATTAAGAAGCCTAGGATCCGGGATCACAAATAAAGCTTAAGCCACATAAACCCCTAATATCCTGTAATACCAAATAGTTGTTCTTTGGGGGGCTTCACTCGTGTGCTTCAGGATGCAGGGCTACAGCTTGAACCTGGAGACCCCAAGCCCTCTAGATTCTATGCCGCACAACCGAAGGAGTTTCAGGTTGGGGCCTCCGACAACCAATACCTGGAACACCCCCCTTCTCAGTCTGAAATCGCACAAAGATAAAGGCAAGTATTCGAACCCCAAAGCCACTTCGGCGCTCACACAGGGTTTAGGGTTTTAGGGTTCAGGCTGAGGGTTTGGAGTGCTAGATCGAAGAAAGCTACCAAAGCCCGTCCCAAGCCAGGCCACAATCTCAAGCGGCAAGCCCCACCGTCCTCAGACCCGCCCCGGAAACCCCAAGCACCTTAAACCTTAAAGTAACCTAAGCCTTCCAAACACCTAAAACCTGAAAGTAACCTAAGGCTTCGCACTCTAAACCATACCCAGGTTCCAAACATGGCGGCCCACTTTCTTCCTCGGCAAGCCCAAACTGCTGGAATGCCCAGACGGTGCTCATCCTTTCGATCGTACCTGGCGACGTGGGACGAGAGCATCTTATCTTCAATATCTATGCAGAGACTTGGCTTCAGTATCAATCAATGCAGTCGCTGGTCATGAAGACTCACTCAACTTTTGTTGCTGCCACGAACATACTGCATCTCTCGCCATGACTCTTGCTTCCTCTAAAGGGCAGTGTTTGGCGACCCAGCAAGCATAACCCGGTGCGTGCAGGTAGTCACTCCTGAGCACTAACTTAAGCACAGCCCACACTCGCCCCTGGAAAGCAGACACCCGTCAGGGGATCCTAGTTGATCCCAGAGAGTTGCACTGGAACTGAAACACAAAAGCAGGCCCGAGTCGATGCTATGACTCAGGATCACTCATGTAGCCGGCGGTCGGATCGTACCACGGAGCCTCGGATAGGGTGGCATAGTTCATGGAAACTTGTAAGCTTTAATTACAATTGAAACAGTTCATTGCTCTAGACGGGCGGCTTTAGTTGTCAAGGTTGTCCAGAGCACCATTTGCTCTCTGCATTTCCAACCACTCAAAGGCAACCTGCTGTGCCTTCGATCTGAAGTGGGGCTGTTCCTCCTGGATCAGCATGGGCCGGCAGTGCTTCCAGAAGAGATCCTGCAAGCAGAACATAAATGGGTTTCGACTTAAGAGAGCTTAGGGCGTAGAGGGTGTTAGGGTTTGGAAAGGTCTAAGGCTTCATGATTCGAGGCTTAGAGGGTTTAGGAGGATTGTGGGCTTTGAGTATGATCAAGGCCTTAGCCAGGAGTGCTTAGAGAAACATTAGAATCAGTAGAGATTCAGTGTTTTTTGGTTTCTCCGATTAAGCAGCGATTTAAGTTTAGGGATTTAGGGGTGTGTGGCTTTAAAGTAAACTTTAGGGTTCAGGGCTTTTTCGGGTTTAGGTGGGACTAGATTTCGGCTGGCAATCCTCGTGCTTAGCAGGGAAACGGAAGTGTTGGCGAATCACGGCATTGAAGGCATCCCGGATGGAGGTCCAAAGGCACTTGGAGTCCCCCTCGGTTGGGGGCTCGAACCTTCTGGCGAACGTCTTTTTTAGCGTAGGCTTCGGCTCGTTGCCCTTCTTGGCAGGCTTCGGCAGTGGCTCGTCGTCGTCACCCTGCTTGCCCTTCTTAGCAGGCTTCGGCACTGGCTCGTCACCCTGCTTGCCCTTCTTCGCAGGCTTCGGCTTCGGCTCGTCGTCACCCTGCTTGCCCTTCGTAGCAGGCTTCGGCTTCGGCTCGTCGTCACCCCGCTTGCCCTTCTTGGCAGGCTTCGGCTCCTCGTCGTCACCCCGCTTGCCGTTCTTGGCAGGCTTCGGCTCCTCCTCGTCACCCTGCTTGCCTCTTTTGGCAGGCTTCCGCTTTGGCTCCCCCTCCTCGACACCCTGCTTGCCTCTTTTGGCAGGCTTCCGCTTTGGCTCCTCCTCGTCGTCACCCTGCTTGCCTCTTTTGGCAGGCGTCGGCTTCGGCTCCTCCTCGTCGTCACCCTGCTTGCCTCTTTTGGCAGGCGTCGGCTTCGGCTCCTCCTCGTCGTCACCCCGCTTGCCGTTTTTGGCAGGCTTCGGCTTCGGCTCGTCGTCACCCCGCTTCCCGTTTTTGGCAGGCTTCGGCTTCGGCTCCTCGTCGTCACCCTGCTTGCCTCTGTTGGCAGGCTTCGGCTTTGGCTCGTCGTCGTCACCCTGCTTGCCTCGTTTGGCTGGCTTCGGCTTTGGCTCCTCGTCTTCACCCTTCTCCGAAGGCTTGGCCCGGGCTTTTGCTTTCCCCTTTCGGCCAGCCCCTCTTGCCACCACCCTTTGTTGTCGACTTGGCTGCAGGCCGCTTCATGGGAACCGGCTCGGGATCTTCAGGGTCCTCCTCCTCCCTCTCATCGTCTGCCCGCTTCGCCTGCTCCCTTTCTTGCATCTGGTCTCTCCGTCTCGTCTGAACCTGCCGAGCTTGGAGAGTGGGCCGATTGAAGGTTCAGGGGTTAAGTAAGGGTTAGGGTTTTGGGGTTTGGGGTTTAGGGTTATTGGCTGTGGTAGTTGTTGCACTGTTTGTAGTATGAGTACTAGTACTCGTACGAGTACTAGTGGAAATCATAGTAGTACTACTACTACTACTACTACTACTACTACTACTACTACTACTACTACTACTACTACTACTACTACTACTACTACGTACTACTACTACTACTACTACTACTACTACTACTACTACTACTACTACTACTACCTACTACCTACTACTACTACTACTACTACTGCTACTGCTACTCCTACTCCTACTCCTACTCCTACTCCTACTCCTACTCCTACTACTCCTCCTGCTGCTGCTGCTAGTACTATCGTTCCTTGGCTATAGTTTTTAGGACACATACAAAGAAGAGCTCATCCTAGCATTCGCCCACAACCTCAAAAGTTCCAATGTGCTGCGGCCCCATAAAAGCAAGCTTACATAATCCTCACCGAACCCCACAAGTTAAGGAGTCTCTGCGTGGCAGATTTGCCTTTGGCTATGCTCGGGAAAGTAAAACTTTGGGCCTTGGCTTTATTTGGCCGGGCTCCTAAAAGGACGGCTTCCTAAATCCTTCGTATTGTAAATACTAGCCTGCCAATGCTGAGCCCTGAATTCCGTGAGCCAAGACTCTCGAAGCCTGCAGGAGTTGAGGATTTGGGGGTTTCGGGAATTTGGGATTAGGAGATTTTGGGATTAGGAGCTCGGTGTATAGGATTTAGTGCGATGAAAAGCATTTAGGATTTGGGAGTTTCGGGGTTTCGGATTGCTAGGAGCTCCGGGTATAGTACTTAGTGCGAGGAAAGACTGAAGCCTGAAGCCCAAAGTACCGTGAAAGACTGAAGCCTGAAGCTCAAACTGGATTTGCCCCACCTTGCAAGCCAACAGATCAGGAGAGTCGGGCTCCGACCGAATCGCCAGCGACACAGACTCTGGGCACGGACTTCCTGGCTGTGCCTCGCCTTGATCCTTCAAGACTCCAGGACCAGTTCAGACCTGTGCTAGATCCCCCGAAACTCCAGGGGCAACTGCTGCCTGTGTTGGGTCTGCTAGATCCTGCGAAACTCCATGGGCAACTGCGGCCTGTGTTGGGTCTGCTAGATCCTGCGAAACTCCAGGGGCAACTGCTGCGTGTGTTGGGTCTGCTAGATCCTCCGAAACTCCAGGGGCAACTGCTGCGTGTGTTGGGTCTGCTAGATCCTCCGAAACTCCAGGGGCAACTGCAGGCTGTGTTGGGTCTGCTAGATCCTCGGAAACTCCAGGAGCAACTGCAGGCTGTGTTGGGTGTGCTAGATCCTCGGAAACTCCAGGAGCAACTGCATGATGTGTTGGGTCTGCTAGATCCCCCGAAACTGCTGGGAGCTCTGAAGCCGCCCTTGCCGGGGTGGCCACGGGTACATTGCTTGGAGCCACATCTTTCGAAGAAAGGGCCTCGAGGGATAGATGACTCCTAGCATCCTGCCGCACAAACCCACCCACAGCTTCCGAGGTAGCTGGAGGATCTGCGAAGGCATCCTGCTCATGCCCATCATCTAGCCGCTCCGGCCAAGCGATGGTCCGTTGGCTGTCCATGTGCTGCAAACCTGGGAGAATGTTGGGGTTCGGGGCTTCAGGATTTAGGGCTTGGGGCTTCAGGGTTTAGGGGCTTAAGGATTCCGGGCTTTTGGGCTTCGGGTGTTGGCTTTCCATGTGCTGCAAACCTGGGATAATGTTGGGGCTTGGGGCTTCAGGGTTTCGGCGCTCGCACTCGGACTTCAGGGTTTAGGGGTTTAAGGTTTCGGGGCTTTTGGGTTTCGGGTTTTCAGGCCGTGAGGCCTCAAAGAGTTTAAGGACTTCGGGGGTCGCCGGTTTTGGGGGCTGGAACAAGATTGAACTGAGGTGCTGTGCCACCGTTGGATTGCCATCTGGCCAGACAAAGCTGCTCTTCGATGGGCGATTTGCTGCCTCGGCTGCTCAGCTTGAGATACAACACCAGTGCTTTCATTATTGATGTGTTCGAACGAGCACCCTTCATTTGAAGCAAGATGCTCCAGCTCAGCCAACCGTTTCACCAGATCTGTGCCTGCACCAGCCTCGCCTTCATTGCCATCAAGCAAAGCTGGCCGATAAGGCACCGGCTCCCCTTCATTGCTCAGCTCATAGGCCACCGTACCCACATAGGCCGAAGGTGGTTGCGGGCTTCCCGGAACAAGGCCCATGGCCTCGGCTAGGTAGTCATCAACCTCAGCTGCTTGAGAATCTTCCTCAACCTCATCCTCGGTCAACTGTAGCTCCTCTTCCTCTTCCTCCTCCTGGCCTTCCTTCTCACACTCATCATCATCTGGATTCTCGGCGTCCTCAACCAAGGTCCTGCGGCTGCGGGCCTTCGGCGGCCAGCTCTTGGCCACCTCGTCGAAGATGGCCTTGAGGCGGTGATCCTCACATGATGCTTAGGCAACCTACACATAATGGAATGTGCAAACCCAAGACCCAGAAACTAGGATGAGTAGAGGGACCTTTCTCACAGATCCGTCATGTCGCCGAATAATGTAGCTCACGAACATTTTCAAGCTGTGGCTGGTGCAGTGGCACAAACCGTTCTTGGGAGTGACCTCGATCTCTTCGAAGAACCGCCTGACCTGATCATGATCATTAAAACAAGAAAACATAACCAAGCAGGAACAAACACGAGTTGCAGTACTGCAATGTTGAAACTGTATGGTGCTACCGAGTAGCTTGCTGCTTCAGGCTTTGCACGGGCACGGTCTTGGGCTCATTCTTTGGGCAGTAGATTTCAAGCAAAGGCAAGATCACCTTCCAGTTCAGCATCAGAGACCTCCGGTTTATGAGCCCAACCTTGGAGGGGTGTTCCCATTCCAGCAAGCTTCCCTTCTTCCGGCTCTGTTTGCGTAGCTGACGGTTCTCCTCCCAGGCCTCCCAAAGACCTGTCAAGTCCGCCACCCTTCTCGGTTTCATCACCTTGCGAGGCGGAGTCTGCGGCACGAGGATGTCGGCCATGCTGAAGTATGGCAGAGAAAAAAAGCACTCCGGGGGGAAGTGTCCGTAAGTCCCCGGGTCCGGCCCAAAAGCTTCAGAAGCACAGAACAAGAACTTTCAATCCATGCGTGTACCACTGAAGCAGTGAAAACACACAGCTGGGAAAGCACGACGGGGCACCACTTCAGTGATGCTCAGGCCACCAGTCACAACCTGCACCAAGACCAAATCACTCTAGCGAATCGGGCTATGCGACGGTTTTGCAGGCCTCAGCCCAATCGCTCCAGCGAGCAGTTGCAAATGAAGACCTGCTGCAGCGTGGGATTTTTTTAAGGGTTAAGGGTTTGGGGAACTGTGGATCAAGAGCCTTATCGTCGTTCTGCAGTAAGTCGAAGCATCCACCAGAAGCCACTGGGCCTCGAGCGATAACCCACTCAGAGGTTAAGGGTTTGGGGAATTGCGACTGAAGAGCCTTATCGTCGTTCTGCGGTAAGTCGAAGCCATCCACCAGAAGCCACACCGGCCTCAGGCGATAACCCACTCAGAGATTAAGGCTTAAGGGTTTGGGGAATTGCGATTGAAGAGCCTTATCGTGGTTCTGCGGTAAGTCGAAGCCATCCATCAGAAGCCACCCGGCCTCGGGCGATAGCCCACTCTATACAGAAAGAGCGAATTGGATAGATGAGAGAGAGAAAGAAGAAGGAAGATTGAGGGAACGATGCAGCATATGCTCGGTGTCGGACCATGCGGAGCCGAAGCATGTCAAACCTGCGAAGGCACCGATCTAAAAAGCGATGGGGCTCTGGACCAAACTCAGTCTTCACCCAATGTTCGAGGCTTTTTTCAACAAGCTCGAGCGGATGCGGTCTTCCTTGCCCATGATCTAATTGGACTGCTCTCCCACATCCTTCCTGGGCGCCTTCTCCTTCTCTGGTGTCTGAGGTTGAGCACAAAGTCCTGGGCAAGAGGAATTTCATAATGATTATCTACTTTGGCCACAACTCAAATCACAACTGCATTCGGAGGCTCGAATCTTTTCCTGGGCCCCCCAAAACTGCTTCGCCAGCTCTCTGACCGACCCGCCATCTCGATAGTTCTGAACTATGACGGCTATCTCGTCGGGGCTCAGGACATCCTAGGGAAGGATCTATGAAGGAGGCTGCAAATGCTTCACATGATTCATCGAATCTCTGTGCTTTCAAGTGACGTGAGGATTCTCGATCTCTGGCCAGAGCACCCCTTGGACTTGATGGAAGAAAGCCAGGGGCATTTCCTGGAGTCCTGGAAAAGCTCAATCATCACAACGAACTGCTTGCTACGAGTTTCTGCTAATGCGAAAATCAGGGTCCTACGGACTTCAGGAGCTCGAAGCACTCCATAGGCACAGGAAGTTGCTCCATGATCAAAGCCCTGCTGCCCAATCAAAAGCCCTCGAGCACAAAAGCAACTGGACAATCAGAGGCTCAAGCACACTTCGCAACCAATCACAATGCTCACGGCATCACAACAGCTGCAGCAGAGCGGTGGGCCCACCTTGAAGGGGAACCAGCAGCTCCACAACGGGAGCCAAAGGGCTGAGACGGCCCAAAACACAAATCAGCCGCCAAATCTACAAAAGCGCCGACAAACCTGCAATCCCGCATCCGACCGCTTAAAGGCGACTTTACCCGGCGCCGGCATTTATAAAAGGCGTAAGGGTTTCCCAGGTATACGTACATGTGCATGTATATGTGTAAGTACATGTATGTGGATGTCTATGTGTATGTGTCTATGCGCATATGTGTGTGTGTATGTGTATGTGTATGTGCATGTATGTATGTGTGTGTGTGTGCACGTGCAAATGTTCATGTATGGGTGTGTGTAGTTATTTTTAGGCACATGTATATATGTGTATATGTACACCTGTATATATGTGTATATTTATGTGTATATGTATGCATATATACATGCATTCATGTACATGTGTGCATGGTATGTACATATGTATATATGTTGTAAAGCTTTATGTATTTATGTTGTATAAGTATATGTGTGTGTATATGTTGTGTGCATATATATATATATATATATATATATATTATATATATATGCACATAGGTTGCATCTTGTATATGTGTGCACTGTACGTATATATGTATATCCGGAAAATTGGAGCACGAATCAGGAATGCTCGTTGCTGGGATGCCCTATGCTTTACGGGCATCAGGAGAGTGATGTTCCAAATTCCTGGTTTGTACTGTAATCAAGAACGGATGGCGAGCTGCCTGGGCCAGTTTCATTCTGAGCTGTCGGTTAGGGTTTACGGTTTAGGGTTAGGGTTTAGGGCTTAGGGTGTTGACCCTTTGTCGTTTTCATCCTTTGTGGACATGGTGGGCGATCCCAACAGAGAAAGTCCAACTGGATCGTTTTCTCCGTATACAGGAAGCATTCATGTCTTCTCAGTCAGTATTGCAATATGGAGGCCTCAATAATTACAGTGAATATTCCGCTGCGTTCCTTATTATATACATATATATATATATATATGGTATAGTAGCCTTAATCAGATTGTTTCAGTTTGTCCGATTCTACCACGCTTTCGGTACGACCCTGAGCACTCTGCCTGCTTAACCTGTGCCCGTGCAACACAGAAGCTTGACTTAACTAGTGTTATACTCTGGGCATTTCTTAGGATTCCTCATCATGTAATTACAGTATAACTTGCCCCCCCCCAAACCTATTCAGACTGTTTGGGCCCCTAGAGTAGCCCTGTGTGCCCAGGATTCAAGGTGCGATAGCAAGCGCTATCGTGCTGCCGAATCGGATCGCCATTCCTTTAGGCACCGTCGAGTTCGGTAGGAAGCCTTGGATTTACAAAGTGGTCCTAAGATGATGTTTCAGGGTCGTTAGTTTCAGGTTTGGGGGGCTTAGGTTTCTTGGGCTTTGGTTTTCGTTCGGGGCTTAGAGTTTTGCGGTGTCGTAGCTCCTAGACTAGGAGGGGGTTTTCTTGAAAACGTTTCATGAACCTCAACAAGCAAACGGTTTTGGAGTTTGGGGTTCTGTGTTGTGGGGGTCCTCGATTAGGAGGGTGTTGTGCAAGGGTTTCATGGATGTTGCTCAACAACACTTACCTTTGGTTAGTAGGGAATGGAAGAATGGTAGTAATAGTAGTTATAATTGTACCCCATTCCTCCATTCCCTACTAACCAAAGGTAAGAACAGAGGCAAGTGCCTACGAATCCCAAACAGACAAACAGACGTTAATGTGAACCCCAGATCTCCACCAGACTCTTATGCCCAATAGGAGTCTTATATGGGTGGGTTGGTCAAAATTCAGGTCCCTTTTTTGGGGTGTCCTAAAAAATAGGTGCCATATTCGAATCAGGGCCCCAAAAAGGGACCATCATTTTGACGACTACCCATAAGAATCTTATATAAGTTGTCAGCCCCTGGCCTCGAAGCAGGAAGCTCCAACTCCGGATCCGAATAGCGACCCTACAAACCCTAAGCCCCAATCCCAAACCCCTAAGTGCTACGGATTTGGAGTTGGGGCTTGGGGCTCAGGGTACCCTAGACTCTAAGCCCTAAGGCCCCAACTCCAACTCCTAGAAGCTAAACTCGAAGCCTCGACTCCAACTCCTCATGTTATACGGGCCTCAATAATTAGAATATAGGTGTTGGGGCCCATTATATTGTTGTAATTGTAATAAGGAGCCCCCCCCCCAATATAGTATAGGTAGCTATTCAGGCCTGTATGGTACTGTGGAAGGCTTCAGCTTCTCCTCACCGAAGAGAGGGTTACTACAAGGGGCTATTTTTTCGGGTTCTTGTATAGTAGAATCCAGAAAGTTGGAGCGTCAATATCCCCATGACCCTTAACGTAAAGTAAAGGGGATCCTAGCACCAGTCCTCCTACACCCATGTTCCACCTTTCTGGGGTTCACTGTAAGGATTTGATATTGGGGGCTCAAGAGAGGTCTCGGCCGTGGGTCTTCTTAGGTTGAACTTACTTAGCGTTTTGGGCTTAGGGACTCGAAGTTCAAGGATATTCCCGAGGGATCCCAGGACTCATATATTAAGGCTTTTGAAAGGCTTTTGGGCCCGAAGACCATGCTATATAAGGCTTTCGGGCTATGTTGATCCCTAGGGATTTAGGGTTTAGGGATCTTCCAGGCTCCGTGAATAGCCTCTACATGTCCTGCACATCTTGTAAGCTTACGGGGTTCGGGCCTTAATATCAAGGCCTAGACAGTCTCTATACTGTTTTGGGGGTCCTCAATTGGAATGAAAAGTATGTCCTGACTGCTGGGGCTTACCTGTGCTCCAAAGCTCGGCGAAAAAGCGCCTTATTGGAGAATGTGCCTGGCAAAAGGAGGCCCTCTAAAAGAAGCCGTGGTCTTTGGACCATTCGTGTGAAAGCACGTCAGTCGCCGAGCAAATGTTTTGCAGGAGATGGCGTGCTTGCAGGCTTCCAGGTTGTACTGGCGAAGATCTACTGACGAAGCTCTCCTCCCACATGGGACGCTGGCCTGGGCTGCCACCGTGAGACCGCTGGGTGGCAGAAGATGCAGCCGCAGCGCGGCAAGTGGTTCTCGTCGACGACTGATGGCAGTGGTAGGCCGTTGAAGGCCCAAACGTCTTGCAGTCTTGCCTAAGCTCCTTCAAACGCAGCGGCATCTTAAGAATCGGAGCCGTTCGAAATGTTGCTGTAGTAGCTTGAGTTTGTTCCTATCCAAAGAAGAGGACACGCTCAGCCGAAAGCCTCCCAACCCGTTGTGCAAACTGCAGAGCCCGAAAGCAAGGTGTCCACCTTAAAGCATGTGGCCGAAGCCTTCAGTGTAGCCGAAGTTCCCGAATGGGCGCCAGGCCTCACCTAAATGCGCAACCTTAAGCCTAAGCCATAAGCCCCTCCAGCTCGAAAACCCTCAAACCCGGAAGCCCTGAAGCCCTTCAGCCGCACAGTCCTGAAACCTTTAAACCCCTTCAAAGTATTCTTATAGCTATATCCTTCATAAAGGATCCCTTCATAAAGGATCCCTTCA